TAATTGCCATACGTAACTATACATAATTCTAAGCTAGTAGTATGCACTTGGATTTAGTTAGTGATGAGTAAAAACCAAGTATGTAACTAATTTAGTTGCTTAAATAAATGTATTCCTAATTATTCAGTTTACTAAAAGCAATACTTCTTTGAATAAACTCTAAGCAGACAATTTATCGCTAAGTTTGCGAGAAAGTAAGCCTCTCCCTTTTCCCATACATGTACTTGTGATTCAAAAACATAATTGATCCACATCCTTTAACTACTGTTTATTTGCATTGTTTATAACATGTAAAGTTAATTCATTGATATTTAACAAAAGTGAAGTTTGTGGTTATCTATGAGTTGCATATTTTGGTAGTTGAAATACTGTATACTCTATGTCATTCCTTTACTTTGTTAGTGAAATAACGTTTTTAAAACTTATTTCTACTATCAAAAAATGTTATTCAATGGCCATTGTTTTTCGATTATCATTAACATTATTTGCATTTGCTGTAATTGTTAAAAAAACAAATGCTTTTAAAGACAAAAAAAAATCACATATTGATCTCAGTTCAAAGGAAAAATTTTCACCTATAAACCTCTTAATTTCACAAAAGAGTAGGTTCTTTTCCAAACAAATACATCCTGCCTAATATTTTGTGTTTAGATTAGATCTTTTGCTTTAACTTTGGAAACTGAGATCATTTTAGATACTATTTCTGTATAAACTAAATTTGTTTTTCTTCATATTACTGTAAACTTAATGGGTTTTGATAAATTTACTCGGCACTACGGAATTTCCAATAAAAAAAAAGAAAATTAATTAAAAAGATCATGGACTAAAAATAAGTAAGGCGTAACATATTTTTAATCTATGTTAAAGCATAACTATTTTTACATAATGAAATTTAGTAAATCAAATTATTATTTCGTTTCGGGTCCATCATGGAACCATTCTCAAGATCAAGTAAATTGAAAAAACTAAAAACAAAAATACCAAGCACTGACAGGAAGTATAAGTAATTAATTTACATATCAATAGGGCCTACTGTGTGGAGCCACAAGCCTGGTTCACGTCAAACTTTATCTAGATATACCCGTCTTGAAACATGATACGATAATCCCCTAATCGCGTTCAATGCCAAGTTAGAGCCAGATAAACAGCCAGCCAGTTTCAGGCCGTCGACGTCACACGGTCGAAAGGCTTGTTTAATAAAACATCTACTGTATTTTACGAACCTCTAGTACCAAGTGGTATTTGTTCAATAGATGTGTATAAGAGACAGTGTTTACTCGGTTTGTTTCTTTCCACTACCTAACCTAGCCGACCAGTATGAACCAACGACCAGTGCAGCAGCGTGTTCTATCGCAATCTAAGTGGTAGATTCTCTAGGCCCTGGCCCTAGCTACATTTACCTTCGATAAAAAACGAAAATTATTTTAATCGCTAGCTAGCATTCTTCCATTTAACAAAATATTGTTTTAATTTTCATTAAAACGTATGTATACTTTATGGACCTTTCTGTCCTGTTTTGTAGTTTTTAGATCGCTCAATTGTGTTGTTTACATGCACTTCGTGAAAATCTAGCTTCGCGGTTTCAAAGAAGTTGCTGACTTCCACACACTTTTTTATTTCGTCATCGTAAACATGTGCGCTCATTTTAACGACTGGCGTTGGTGGTAGTTCGTTGAAATTGAATTAATAGTGACTATTATAGCAGAAACGGAAAAGATTGAATTGTCAATAAATAAATACAACAAATCTGATTTTATTATTAAGAAAAATATACATTATCACTTTGAAAAACATACGCAATCGGACTTTTTAACGTTATTACTTGGTCGATGATGCAAAGGGCAAATGTCATTGGTAATATCGACTATTCGTAAAACAGACGTTTGCTGGGTGTTTACCCAAAATATTACAAATAATTTCTGAAAAACCAGACTAATGAGACTACTTCGATGCTGTTGTTAGCATTGTTGAAGTACGTTGTTGCCAGCCAGAAGATGATAATGGTGGTACAATACAACAAAGCTGGCTTAGATGCCTACGTTACGTAATCGTGTCCTTGTAATCCGAGCCGACTTTACCGTTAAGCAAGTTAATTTACCGTATTTATAATATACAGCAATTAAACTTCATTTTGATTTTGGTCATTTTGATCTTACCTGACAGGATATATTAAAATTCAAATGAAAAATTATTTTCAACAGATCTGTTTTAATACGTGTTCACTGATAGATTATTTCATCCTCACAGATGAGCAAAAGACAAAAAATCCAGTGATTAATTATTTTGTCCTTTTTAAAAACATAACTGTCATCAAAAATGAAGAAGTATTACCCATGACGGTAGTATGATACTCTCCAGTACATTGTTTTAACGCTTTTCACTCCTATATGTTGTAAGATTTAAAACAAAAATATATTTCTAAAATGGGCTACTTACAATTCATGTACTGTATGATAAACATGTAATCAGCAGCATATTGGTTTTAGAAAGCTTAAATAAAAAATATATACTGGCAGATTGCAGGACCAATCCTCTGCTACTGGTCTAACCCAATAATTGAATTATGACACCCACCTCAGACACAAACACACCCAGCATAAAACAACAAGTCACCAGTGATCCCTAAAAATACATTCAATGACACTCTACTACCAATTACACATTTCAATAGCTTTACTTTAACTTTTAGTATATCTTTCTTAATCCATTAAATCTAATCTCATCACTTTGAACAAAAACAATGGAAAAAGAGCATCAATTGAGCTGCTTAGTATATCCAATTGAAAGGCCTTTTATCTATCACTACTGTACTGGTAAACACATTCTAAAATAATGACGTCTCCTTGACAAAACTGTTAACGTTTTGTCATTTTAACTAAAAGGCGCTAGAGTACAAAAAAATTAACTCTTGGCGGAACCATGGAGTAATAAAACAAGCTAGAAATAAAACTTATCATACCAGCTCTGACAATAATTCCAAAGGAAAAACAATTCTTATAATCTGTGAAATGACACATATGCACACAAACTAACATATGTATATTAAATTTCATGGGCAACTGGTTAAATTACAAGATACCATGAGAAATCAAGGCGTTAACACAAAATCTATAGTACTGTACATCAAACTGTCATTGAAGCAATAAATTGATTGCCAAATGCAATGGCTTAAATTCCCAAAGCATTATATTTCACTCAATAACCACACTATAGGTGGGGCCAAAACATATTTAATAACATTAATTTTATTATACAGTAAAACCATAAATTATAGACTCTGAACATTCCTAACATTAGAACAGTATCACATTTTTTTAATGTGATATCAACCATTAATTTTGTATATACAAATATGCATCCACCTAGTGGATTGTTTTTACTACTATATTGTTAATGTTAAATTTGATATGGATAAAGTATATTATTATTCTGAAAAGACAACTCATTTACCGGACAACTGTAGTCAACAAAGTTATAAAGAGAAATTACTAATATTATTTTTAGGATTTAATTTAGAGCAGCACCAACCTCCCAACCACTATCTCAGCTCTTTTCAAGATTTAAAAATGAAATATTTGTTCAAGCTACAGCAAGATGTGCACATAGCACACAGTAGTCGCCAACTTTTCCCAAAAGAAATCTGTGAGAACTTGTGTTGCGTAGCAACGTGCCACTGGCTGGGGGGGCCAGGGGAGGGGCCCCAGGTTGACAAGCCTTTGAACTGATTTGATTGATCATGGACACTAAATTAAGTCAAGTGTATGTATTTAAACTTAATAAAACCAAAAAGTTATACTCATTTAAAAATTTGACCAAAGTACAGTACTGTAAACTTAAGATGAGTACCCGACAGTTGTGTGGTGTAAAATTAAAACTTTTTTACGAATTCACTTTATTCATGAATCACGATGTGTACAGACAGTACTTTCATGTGGAAAACAGATAAACAAACAAACAAACCATGTGCGGTGCATTACTGGGTAATAAAACCACACTGACGGTAGCGGGCGTAAAGGGCGTCGTTTGTTTACGATTCTAACGTCGAGCGTACTGGACTTGCACATAGCCTAGGGTTACTCTTTGCTACACTATAAACACTACAAACAAATGGCAAATGATCTATTTATTGCATATTACTGTATATGCAGTTCGCAAATCATTGTTTATTAGTTTAAAAATCTTGATCCGTGAGTAACCTTGAAATCTGAGTTTTTGTTCATCCGTAGTAAATCTGCTAAATGATAAATTATCCGTGAGTTTCACGGTCAATCCGTATAAGTTGGCAACTATGACATAGATAGAAATCTTTAGAGGAGGAATATGTCTTGCAATGGACTGCCAGTAATGATGATGATAATGATAACGATGATAATGATGATGGTGATGATGAATTTTGTTGATTCCCTGTGTTTCTGCCACCATGGTATTTACTGGTTGTATATTCAAGTAGTACATTGTCAGTAGTTCTCAATCAATCAATCAATCAATTACTCCTTCAATTAATCAATCACTTAATTAATCAATCATTCCCCTTGTTTTCTTTAGATTTCTTATGTATTAATGAGTTATTGAAACACATTCTACAAAAGTTATATATTATTATATATTAATGACTTAATATGATATAGCCACTTGGTATATTCTTTAACTTAACTTTGTTTTTCCCACTTCAGACTTACTTGAAACAAATAAATTAAATTAAATTAAATTAAAATCTCCTTCACAAAGTGTTACAAAAGCTAAAAGTGGTTTGAAAGTTAATTATTTCTTACTCAAACATAGGGCTTATTTATTGCATCTTATGCACAATAGAACTCAGAGAATACAGTATTCCATAACCAAAGGGTGGATTTACATTAGGTAAAAACCAGTAATAATATGTGACTAAACCAAGGAGGAGCACCAAATGAATCAGTGCTATATTTTAAATGATGAAGCTCCATATCAATTTATTTATTTATGGTATTTTACTTTAAAAAGTAATAAATGCTGATACTTACATGTAATTTTCTTGCTTTAATTGCTATATAACACGGCAGATACAAGTTGATATAATTGTCATGGGCTATGGTGGTGTGATGGTACGGATAACTAGATTGTTTCATGCCTTGCTGCAAATACTGAAAGAAACGTCACAGTTTATAGTGACAGTGGAATGCAAACCTTTACTACTGCCACCATTGTCACAATTCATGATGGGCTACGACTACTGAGGCATCAGCAAACCAGGGCTTTTGTATTACAAACAAAATACAATGCTGATTCTGTTTTTGTATTTATGGCAATTTCACACCTTGCTGTTTATGGACATAGGCATTATCATATTGCTCTGTGACTCAATAAACTTTCATAGCTTATTTTGTTGATTTGCAAAATATTACCAGGGCTGTTTCTTGGATTTAATTCATGTTGGTTCTAAAAAGTTATTAATAAAATATTTTTTTTATCTCCTTTTACACTAAATAGAAGAATGCTGACACAATTTTCTTTAAAACAAACTGAAAAATCCAGATATAGCCTTAAAAATTGGTTAATTATACTTTCAGTTTGAGTTCTAATCACCAAACTTTTCTACCATCACTACGCCTCCCTCAGCACAATTGTATATCTAGGAGCCTTGAAATGGGGGTAGGGCTCTGATGTTAAGGGGACTTGATGAATAAGTGAGGGGACACTAGCTCGCAAAATAAGGTCATATGAGAGGATTTTTTAAACTACATGAGCGTAGCATTTTTAAACATTTCCAGTGGGGGATGGTAGGCCACTAGCGTGGCGCAAGCTTTTTAGGGTGCACAGTCTTCTCCCGGATAAGCCACTGCCTCAGCATCAAGTTACTCACAGGATGCGACACATCAATGTGGTGTTTGATCTTTTTGAAAAACCATTATTTTTCCTGCTCCTCTATTTACTTTATATTCTATCATGGTGGTGTGTCACAATCAATAAAACATGTTCATTTTTTTTAAAATTTCATTTTGGAAAAGGATTTGTTGGTCTATTTTAAAAAGAAACTTTTAAATCACATGAAATGACCTGAACGTTAAAACCTTTTTCGCCTTTATTTTTGAGTGGCGACACTAAGTAACAATTTGCATTTATCTCCCTGAATGGTTCCTGGTATAGACAGGCATCACACGCTACAATTGAACATGACATTGTCTATGGTAACTCCTGTCAACATGGCAACACTTACCTAATAAGCACCCATCTTGACTATGCACACGCCTGAGTTGAGTAATGAGATGCGGTGCAGTTGACCTTTGGACACCCTCAGTCGAAAGGTGTATGTACTTTGTTTCTACCAATGTTGGCCTAATTTACTGTACAGTGTATGATGATAGGGCGAGTAGTAGGTGGTGGCATTGGTGGTAATGGTGATGATCACAAAAGAAAATCGAATGAATATGGTTCCAAGCGCAAAACAGTTGATGAATAAAACGTTTCTTTCTTGTTGAACCAAGGCGGTCTTGAACTACCAAGAGATAAAAACGTTCTCTTACCCACTACACGTTTGGATCAGCGGTGCTTTTCAACGGCTGAGGAAACCTATCAGCCTGGCGTTGTGACGTTACCGTACCGATGACCTTGCGCGCGCCTGTTGAGATGTTCAGTGGTGCATGCGTCCATGAGTGGTGGCACCAGTTGGGGATGGGAGGGGTAAGCGGGCATTAGTAGGGGAAACTCCACATCGGATAGGCCTGGACCCCCGTCGTCCCCCCCCCCCGGTTGTCCCACGCCACGACGAGATCGTCGGACCATAAAAATATTAATTTGCCTATTATATTCAAATAACGTTGTTTGCTGGACTTATCAAACTAGAAATCAGCTTAAATTCGTCTTAAGTCCATTTTTCTGCTTAAGTCAGATTTATCATTATTGCTTAGCTTAGAAATTGCTTAAAATTAAAAAGCCGATTGTATGCATGCGCCATCTGTGATGATTTTTAATTTAAAATTTTACTAAGATGGTTTAATAAATCAGCTTAAGATATTTGCTTTGGGAAATCCTAACGTTTTTGACTCAAGACATTTGCTAAGCTGACATTGATAAATCCAGGACCTGGTCTCTAAATAATGTTACGAGTTTATAAAAAGCACATTTTTGGACCAAGGCCTATTAGCCATATCATATAAACTCTACCCAAGGATTTTTATTCCGGGATCCTGATGATTATGATCAGTGGCGGATCAAGAAATTCAAAATAGAGGAAGATCCCGTAGGAATTTCACAGATAGAGGATCACCTCAGCCCCATCATGGGTGGGGCTGAGGTAAAAGAATCTGTGATTATGGCACCTTTAGATGGCCGGAAATTGCACTCTCAGATTTAACATTTGAATATCATCTTCTTCATATCACACATTTTTGTTTAAATTTTGAACAAATTAGGGGCCCTGGACCGGCTTCCCCTCCTTGAATCCGCCACTGATGATAATGACGATGATGATGATAATGCGATTTTACCGTGTCGAACGGAGGTCCCCTGTAAGTTGCATTTAAGTTTGTTTAATTGATACTGTAATTTCAATTTGGTGTTGTAGTAGGCATAACACATTAGATTTATATTATTATTGACAACGGATCAGTTGTTGTTTGTAAGCATTAGCATACAATTTGATTACAGGCTGCAAAAGATCAAAGGGATCCTTTTGTTAACGTGTGAATCAATTTCTGAGCATATATTTAAAGTAAACTTGGTTTTTTTTTAAATCAATAGGGCCTAATCAAAATGTTTATTTGTATGCATGCGCCATCTGTGATGATTTTTAATTTAAAATTTTACTAAGATGGTTTAATAAATCAGCTTAAGATATTTGCTTTGGGAAATCTTAACGTTTTTGACTCAAGACATTTGCTAAGCTGACATTGATAAATCCAGGACCTGGTCTCTAAATAATGTTACAAGTTTATAAAAAGCACATTTTTGGACCAAGGCCTATTAGCCATATCATATAAACTCTACCCAAGGATTTTTATTCCGGGATCCTGATGATTATGATCAGTGGCGGATCAAGAAATTCAAAATAGAGGAAGATCCCGTAGGAATTTCACAGATAGAGGATCACCTCAGCCCCATCATGGGTGGGGTTGAGGTAAAAGAATTTGTGATTATGGCACCTTTAGATGGCCGGAAATTGCACTCTCAGATTTAACATTTGAATATCATCTTCTTCATATCACACATTTTTGTTTAAATTTTGAACAAATTAGGGGCCCTGGACCGGCTTCCCCTCCTTGAATCCGCCACTGATGATAATGACGATGATGATGATAATGCGGTTTTACCGTGTCGAACGGAGGTCCCCTGTAAGTTGCATTTAAGTTTGTTTAATTGATACTGTAATTTCAATTTGGTGTTGTAGTAGGCATAACACATTAGATTTATATTATTATTGACAACGGATCAGTTGTTGTTTGTAAGCATTAGCATACAATTTGATTACAGGCTGCAAAAGATCAAAGGGATCCTTTTGTTAACGTGTGAATCAATTTCTGAGCATATATTTAAAGTAAACTTGGTTTTTTTTTAAATCAATAGGGCTTAATCGAAATGAGAAGCAGTTAAAAGTACTGTAAGCTCTCGGACAGATACAATACAATATAAAGAAACATGACTTGGCCTACACACACCTTCGTCAGAAAAAATAAATCAACAAAGTTTTTTTCCACCCTGACTCCAACAAGCCAGAGTGGGATTCGAATAGTCCGAATCACTGCAATTTTTCTAACACGTGTATGAAACTGAAACGGACCTCTTTTTTAGTTGAAGAATACAACTTTAGTAATTAAAAACTTTACTAGAATAATGTAAAAGTTTATAGTTGAATTTGGTGGCAATATTTTGTTTCCAGAAGTAGGCCCCTATATATACATGTTGTTGTTTTTTTAAATTTGTATTAGACTATCATATATCACTCACTTTAATCTAAAATGTGTAGAATCTCAACAATCTATGAGCTACAAGAGGCCTATGCATATAATCAAAATACGTAACATTTGCCTATGCAGTCTCACATCATTAGATTAATGTCATTGTTATAAACGTTATAATATTTAAACAACATCAACGTACTTACATTATACACTTGAATTTCCTTTGGATTTTTTATCAAGTAGGAACTCCAAGGATAAAATACATATCATGTAAAATGCTAAAAGGCCAACCCGAGTAACCCAACTATCTTTTGTCGAATGTTGATCAAAATTAACAGCGTTTTGAGTTAGCCGTTGGGAGATTACAAATTGTCAATATTTGTTGGTGAAAGCTAGATATTCTGGCATGATAAGACTTACAACAATACAACGGCGAATGATAAGCTATTCATGTATACAACAATATTATGTACCAAATAGTGTGTGTGTTAGCTTTTAATTAGAATTCGAAATATAAAAAGTGTTAGTTACAGAAATACTTCTCAACTAAATACTATTAATGTTTGCTTAATAGCCACCACCTGTACTTTTCTAAACTTGGGACTTTTAGGCTATACAACAGTAAATAATAAATTTCTGAAAAATTTAACTTCGTTATGTACCGATATATACCATCGCCAATAACTATTACATTGCATTAAATTACAAGTCTATAATCTAATATTAATTATTATAATCGCTTTAATTCTGATAACATAAATAACGATAGTAAATTATTCAATATAAAAGACAAAGGGAAACTTCTTTCCAAAATTAATGAATAATGAATATGTTTATTCTGCATAGAAATACAATACTGTGATATCGTTCTTTCTTTCTTTTCTTTCTTTAGTAGGCTTTTTCCACACACTAAATAACATTCAAACATATAAATAATATTTCATAATTATATAATGTCATAACAATAGGAAAAACAAATTGTGGATGGAGGTCAATTAAGTTCAAGGAACTTTAATTTGACCCCCATTTAAAAATTATGAAAACAGTATAGGCCTATACAGCAAAAATTAGTCAGATGGACCCAATAGTAAGAATAACATGCTACGACCTCTCGCTGTCAAGGCGAGCGTCATCCATTAGACCACAGAGGCGCAAGCTTCATGGTTGGACAGATTCAAATTACCGCCAGATCACTCTATTATAGGTACGTACGGCTGGAAACACTAAATACTGTAATTGCATAGGCCTATAATATAAATCCGTTGAACTTAGGCCTAACAGTTTTTTTCCATGGTTAAATTATGTGTAAATCATCAAAGAAGGGTAAATAGGCTACATCATATCATCGTGTAGCATAGCTCTCAACGAATGTAGTCCTATAAATAAATGAATAAAGAAATTGTGTAATAAAATGCTTCCGACGGGATTCGAACCTGCGACCTGTCAGAGGCATTTTAAAATTATTTTTATTTAAAAGAACAGTTAAGTCAGTGTGCATGACCCCTTTTAGGTCTTCTAATAAAGGTTTAATTTAATTATTTATTCGACTTCACATAGGCAAAAATACCATATCAATGACATAAAAAAGATTGAAGAACAGGTGAACAAAATCATATGATAGTGGCAATACAATAATACAGAAGCGAATCTGATGTGCCCAAGATGACAAAAGTCATCCTCCATCCGTCGGCACTCGAACTCGGGACTTTTCGCCTACACGACGACCGACATACTAAAAAAATGACGATGGCAATGACCGTAATTAATAATAATGACTTTTAAAATGGTATAATTTGGGGGTTATGCCTATGCGACACTCACTGCACTGTGATGAAGAGAGAGTGCTAACCATCATAACTATAGGGGGCGCTAACACCAAAACAAACTTTTTGACGAAAAACCGGTACCACCGAAGTGTAGCGCTGCTAGTTATTGGACTTTGGTTGGTTTGATGCTAGAATGGAGGGAGACAAAACTGATATTTTGCACCAGGTGGATCATGCCCGGTATACTATCCATTTTTAGACCTCAATACCGTGGTTTAGTTAGGGTGTAGACCAGGCATACTGGTTATAGCCGCGGCCTTGGCTACTTTCTCTTCGCCCTACTCAGCAGTCCAGTAGAGTAGAGTAGGCCCAGAAATGCCCCTGCCTGGACCATCCCCTAGGCACCCTGCCTGTACCATCCCCTAGGCACTGGCTACTTTCTAACTGGGCCTAGCCCTTCAAGTCTCTTTAGTTTTTAGCTGCATAGGCCTAATCATTACACCTTCTAACTTAAACTATAAAGTAGGCTAAAAGCAATTACCGGATGCCATTAATCTGCATAGGATTAGTAGATGTGAAAGTGTCAGGATTTTAATTGGCCAAGGCCTAGTACTTGGGTCTTGATGCTACTTTATTTATTTTTTTGCCATCAGAATTTTATTTTGGACTGCCTGTACCTGTGTCACTTTCTGTACCATATACACTTTCTTCTGGATTCGTAATCAGTTTTACATCGAAAAACGTGGGAAGTATGTCTTGATAACAGGATGCGATACTGGATTTGGAAACAAGTTGGCCAGGGAGCTGGACAGACAAGACTGTCATGTTTTTGCTACATGTTTTACTGAAGATGGCATTAAAAAACTGAATGAAACTACATCAGAAAAATTGCATTGTATTCATATGGATGTGCGGAATTCTGACAGCATAAAAAAGGCATACAATGAAGTGAAAAGGCTATTGCCATCCCATAAAGGTTTAAATCTTTTACCTCAAGTACACATGTCCATATTATTTCAATAATTTGAATAAAAACTGGAATAAACATATTAATTAATTTGGAAAGAAGTTATCCTTTGCCTTTTACATGTAAATTGAATAATGTCAACTGACAGGGATGTGGAGTGTAAAAATTGTGAATTTAGAACTACTGTAAATCGCTATTCTAATAAAGATTCTATGGTCATTTTCCCCACTTATATTAGCAGACCCGACTTAAACACATTTTATTTGCACATTATTTTCTTGCAATGATTGTCTGTATTTACCTGTATATATAGGTCTCTCAGGATTGGTTAACAATGCTGGTGTCACAGGTTTAATCGGTATGTATGATTGGTGGACGAAAGAAGAGCTGCAAAATGTATTTGACATCAACCTTCTTGGAGTTATAGATGTAACAAACACATTCCTGCCCCTGGTCAAGAAGGCTAAAGGTCGTGTTGTGAACATGTGCAGTAGTTTGGGAATAAATCCAATTCCAAGTGGTGGATATGGAATTGCGAAACTTGGGGTAGTAGCATTCTCAGATGGTTTAAGGTGAGGTCACATTGTTTGCTCAAATTTAAATTCACCATCCACCGGTGATAAAAATGGGTAAATGTAATGTACGAAGATGTAAAATGATATGGTCTTGTGTACCAAGTTTTAAGACATTGGATTGTACAGTAATTAGAAAGAAGAGTATTTATTACTCTATTTCACTCTTGAACATAAACATACATAAGGCGAGACTTTTTTATACCTTGTTTTGTGAACATTTTTTTTAAGATCGTCAGAGGACGGAAAAAAAATAAAAATAACATTTTATTGGTGAATGTAAACACTGTATTAATGGGATGCTTAAATGCTTTGAAGTTATATAATTAGGAAGAAATATACATATATTATTTTTGGAGATTTCAAGGCAGCGGTGGGCATAATAAACATTTTTTGAAACTATTTTGTGGCAATAGGTGTGCTCATTGGCCAAAAATAAAATTTAATTTTTATTTGAAATCATGATTATTAGCGGACGGTGGGTTCGCTAAACAAGGTATAAGAGTCTTGTCTAATACAGTACAAATATTTTATGTGTACTGAATATCTACTGTAGTTCCTTTTTACTGTAGTTCCATTTACACCGTCTTCAATTAATTCAAAATTCGGCTGCACGTCTAATCACTAAAACTCCAAAATATGCACATATTACCAACATTCTGAAAGATTTACACTGGCTTCCTCTAACACACCGGATTATTTACAAAATTTTGCTGATCGTTTTTAAATTCAAAACTGACTTGGTTCCAGACTACATCGCAGATATGCTCCATTGGTATGCTCCTAAACGTAACTTATGTTCTTCCAATCAACTCCTCCTGCATCAGCCCAAATCTCACAATTCCTGGGGAGACAGAGCCTTTTCTGTTGCTGCTCCACGCTTGTGGAACAATCTGCCTTTCGCAATTAGATCCTGTGAGTCAATAAATACTTTCAAATTGTCTCTGAAATCACATCTGCTAAGAGATGCCTATCCAACATTAGGCGGTAAGTAGTTAGGAAATAAGGAATAAGAAAAGTCACGACGATACTTGCTGTAACTTGAATAAATAGGTAAGGAAACTGAATGGATATGATTGTAAGGATTGGGAAACTTGAGGTGAGAGGTCTGATATTTTTTTTTTCTCTAAGAAAGAAAAGGAAAAGAACAGGAATCTTAAGAAATATAATGAAAAGTAATTGTTAAGGAAACATAAGAAAGGAAAGAAAAGGTCACATGAGAAAGAACAAGGTAAGAAAGATAAGGTAACATGAGAAAGAAAAGAGAAAGATAAGATAAGGAAACATAAGAAAGACAAAGAACAGGAAACTTAAGAAATATAATGGAAAGGAATGGGACAAGGAAGCAAAAGAAAGAAAAATGAAAGAAAAGAAAATGTTACATAAGAAAGAACAAGGAAAGAAAATGAAGGTAACATGAGAAAGAAAAGATAAGGAAACATAAGAAAGACAAAGAAAAGGAAAGAACAAGAAACCTAAGAAATATAAATGAAAAGGAATGGATAAGGAAACATAAGAAAGAAAAATGAAAGAAAAGAAAAGGTCACATGAGAATGATCAAGGAAAGAAAGTGAAGGTAACATGAGAAAGAAAAGATAAGGAAACATAAGAAAGACAAAGAAAAGGAAAAGAACAGGAAACTTAAGAAATATGATGAAAAGGAATGGATAATGAATCATAAGAAAGAAAAATGAAAGAATAGAAAAGGTCACATGAGAAAGAACAAGGAAAGAAAGATAATCTGACATGAGAAAGTAAAGAGAATGAAAGCATAAGAAAGACAAAGAAAACGAAAGTACAGGAGAATTAAGAAAGATAACGAAAAGGAATAGATAAGGTTACATAAGAAAGTAAAAATGAAAAGAAAAGGAAAATTCACATGAGAAAGAACTAAAAAAGATAAGGTAACATGAGAAAGGAATAGACTAAAAAAAAAAAAAAAAAAAAAAAAAAATATAACAGGCAATTTGAGGCACAGGGCTTGCCTATTCATAACTCACAGGTGCTCAAGTAATGGGGGTATGTATCTAAACAAATTAACTTAGCAAGCAAGCCAAAAAAAAAAAGAAAACTAAGAAACTAGAAAAGCAGCAGACAGCAGATGGGTCTTGAGCTGTCTCTTATACACATCTAGATGTGTATAAGAGACAGCAATTCCACAGTGCTCAAAAGGGTAGACTTTTGATTCAGTAATTTTATCCCAATAATTTTTAACTAGATTAAAGTGTGTTAAAGCGCAAGTATAATATAGATGCTGAATGACAACTAAATTTTCAATAGAAATATACTAGATTTAATGATTCTGATATTAAGCAAGTTTTATAAGAGTAAATTTTATCATGTTTCATAGTACATATCAATGCTAAATACATATTTGCTTACAAAATTTGTTAAGTGATAATTTATATAACTTTTAAATTTAAATCTTGCATTCTATTATTTAAATTTAGTTTTGCTTTTTCCTTGAAATATTAGTAAACATAGTAACTAAATGTGCTTCTCTAAGCTTGCATTTAACCTATTAGTCAAAGCTTTATTTAAATCACATTCATCTTTAATTGTGTACATCAAATAGTTTTTGATCCTCATTTCTCTCACGATTTTGAGGAATATTAAATAAAAAACTCTTACAAAAAAAAAAAATCATACTGTGATTGAAATAAAATACAAAAATCAACTGGTATTCCTATTTGACATTTAAATTCCACCTAGATTCCAAACCAAAAATTAGGCCCAAAATATGTTGTGTTGTCCAAGCAGAGTTACAAACAGAAACCAGGTTCATTCAGAGTTTTCTATAGGTCTAGGCCTAACTCTAGGACTCAACCATCACTCGCCCCATGCATTTTTGCTGATAGAATGGTAACCACTATGCTAAAATATTTAATTAATGCTTTAAAAATGCCATTTCCAATATATTAAATATTTTGGGCTCCTCAATAAGGGAAAAAAAAATGTCACTAACTTTTTTAAATTTCTTTTGGTCGGCCAGGCTTGGGCAGCACAAACTTTTTTGTGGCTTTTGAACAAATAAACATAGATATATTTACACCAGTATGTAAGAGATTTGCTCTCATGGAAGCATCACTACTCAAATATAAAATGAATCGAGATTACACCTAATGATGAGGTTTTGTTAAGCCAGATACACACTGCACTTGATGGAGAACACAACAAAATGCGTGTGAACGTGACGAGACACATGTGTAACAGATAATTTTATCAACGATCAGCAGACAGTATTGCGTCATCAAAAACCCAAAGCCGAGATTAAGGCTATGTTCTCAAACAGCTGCTAACGGTTAGCAGGATCCAGATCCTGCTAACCATTAGCTGCTGTGCGTCCATATGAGAAAATCCCGATCCGGATACCAAAAATATGATCATCGAATCACTGGCCAATAAGAAACTGGAAAGTGTAAACGCGTATGTGTGATTGGTTAACTAATTGGTTAACGCTCAACTTGCTAACCGGTAGCGGTATCCGGATACCGCTAACGGTTAGCGCTAACCGATCAGGCGTTCTCGCGCAGGTGCTAGCGGTTAGCACTAACAGTTAGCTCCCGATCTGGATACTAGGGCTCTTGTGAGAACCAGGCTTACATCAATATACAGTGTGTACCCGGCTTTAAATTGCCACAGTAGAGATATCTCTACAATTATGGAAACAAAATAGAAGGCAATTCAAAAAGCAGTGCATATCCATGTAACTTTCTTATTCTAGTCACATGGTGGTTCTAAGAAATTTAAATAGCATAAATCAATTCAATGCTGCATTTTTCATTGGGTACGAAGAAGCCTCTCTGGTGCAAGATTCTGGAGATGCTTAGAGCTGGAGGTAATGTGATGAAATAAATTCTGTTTAAGTCCTAACAAAAGATCGTCCACTGAAACAAAACAAAAAACAAAGCATGTGTTAATTGATTTTAAAATATAGTAATAATATTAATGATCGAGATTTGTACTGAATGGACAGCTGTGTTTCTACTGAATGGACGGCTGTGTTTCTACTGAAACACATCCACCTTTTTTATACCTAATTTTAAAATTTGGGTCAAAGTTCATGTGGAAAAAACAGTTTCTGACAACTGCTGTGATCATTGCTCATAAGACCTTTCATGAGTTGTAAAGTTTGAATTGATGTAAGTGCAATTGAAATTACAGAATACTTATTTGCTGCCAATAATAAAACAGGTATAGTGTCGGTGCTTCAATTTAGCTGCTTTAGTTCATCAGGGGCCCTGAACCAAAATTTCCAATTTCTATTCAAAAGAAGGAAAGATTGATTTATTATTATACTCACGTTATAGTCTTCTTCTCCTTATTCTGCGATTCTGGGCGAGCCCGGTTGAGTACTTTCAGGAACTGCGATGTCTGAGCACGCATTCTAGAGTGTATATAAGCCTGAAAAATTTTTTTAAAAATCATAAAAATATTAAAAGAAATACTTCAAATAGCTCTGTGATATGAATCTAACTATATCACATGATCCTGGCTTTTAAAAGAATATTATTATCATCACAAACACAATTTTTATTATAACTATCACCATCATCAGGGGTTTCATTAAGGTTTAGAGTAGGAGGAGAATGAGCAAGAGTTACAGGAGAGTTCCTGGGGGGGGGGTCTGGGATATAAAAGTAGCTGGCGAAAAAAGTCATATTAACTGGTCGAATTTGCTGGCTGCCGGCTACTAATGAAACCCCTGATCATCATCATCATATTATAATATTGTGTAAATTGTGAACCTTTACCTTCGAACATTTGATGTGGTAGTGCAAGTAAGTTCTAAATGTATGAATCAAATCAATTGTGTTGTCCTTTGTTTTTGGATTAGTATGTCTTGATTCCAGCACTAAGTGAAAACAAAATTAATTTTTAATAATTCAGTATGACTCAAAATCAATCCTTGTCTAGTAATAATAAAATTAAATGATTTATAAAGTGTACAAGTAGTGCTCAATGTGCTTCAGAAGGATGGAACCAAAAATAACCGTGAACCTTAAAACTACCAGAAAAGAAACCTCGCACATCACCACACTGTTTACAGGCAATTTGAGGCACAGGGCTTGCCTATTCATAACTCACAGGTGCTCAAGTAATGGGGGTATGTATCTAAACAAATTAACTTAGCAAGCAAGCCAAAAAAAAAAAGAAAACTAAGAAACTAGAAAAGCAGCAGACAGCAGATGGGTCTTGAGAGCTCTTTTAAACAAAGCAGTAGACTGGCATGAGCGAATATTAAATGGTAGTTTATTCCAAAGGCATGGAGCTGCAATCATTATCATCACAATTTACTAAGACAAAGTATTTCAATCTAAACTAACCAAATGTAATGTAGCCAATATTGTCACCAGTAGCTGCATCAGTAGAATCCAATTCTTTTGGGGGTTCCTTGTGACTGAACAGAACTTGTGGAGCTGTTTGACTTGCTTTACGACCTTCTTTAAACTCCTATACACAAAACAAAAAACTGTCTATTTATTTGTAATTCTTTTAACAAGCTAAGTAATGAGAGCAGCCTAGTTCAATTGGCTAAACTGGCGGTAGCCACTGTATATGCACTGAACGATGAAGATCTTTATATTACCTTAGTGTCTGGTTCAATTCCATCCACGGTGTTTAGCAATAATGCACTTTCGTTCGGTCCTGTGGGCAATATGGCCCATGTGCATGTTAAAAATGCAGTACACTACTTTGAAAACGATTGTCTTTTGACCATTGCAAGTTATCCTTAGTGCATTACAGTTGAACTTGCTTAAGTCGAATCCAAAATGGCAATTGCTCAATAAATTTTGACTTCAAGATTGTTAATTTAATGGAAAACAAAACAATCTGCCATTTAAAATAAGTTTGACTTGGATATTATTTGAGTTAGGCAAAGTTGATTTAGACAGGTTTTACTGTATACCTCAAATAAATTTAATCCAACCTGTAAAGTGAAAACTTTCATTTGAAAATCATTGGTCAGCCTATCCTTCTGTATGAATTTTTGGTATTCTAATAACAACCTCTGGCACTGGGTTAATATTAGAATAGTGGATCATTATTATAGATTAGCTTTTAAGGTTGGTTACTATTAGAGCATGGGTCACAAATACAGTACTGGGTTTTCATTTGAGTTTTCAAAATTATAAAATCATATGTACATATAATTCATAATTTTATTTCCTCACATGAGATGGTAGTTAACAAAGGGAGATATTCCCTGTACAATTGTCAACTACCAAAGCATAGAATAATAATAATATAATAATAATAACAGCAACAACAATAACAATAATAAAATAATAACAATAATAATAATAATATTCATAATAATGATCACAGAAATAAGTAAAATTATAATAATAATATTATTCATAATAATGATCACAGAAATAAACCATGTTTACCTGCATAAACACTTTACCAAAGATAACATCAACAGAATCCTTGAAGACTGTGCTGAAAACCACGGTCACCCTGTCCTTTCTGGCATCAACATACCTGCAGCAAAAGTATTTTTTTATAATAAAGAAGTACTAATGTTACACTTTGTTGCTTACGTTTTAGAATCTAAGAGAAGCCAATCAAAAAACAATTATCAAAATTATTCTCTTCATAATTTTGTACAATTTGTGTTAAAATGATTAGTACTAACTACATGTTTTCCCAGTTTTATTGTTTTTCATTTCATTCAATTAGACACAACAGGTCAAGTGCTTGCAGCATATCAGCCAGGTCACTGGATCTATATTGACAAATATGGACAAAGGGTTATCTCCTTCTTTTGTCTCTAGAAGGAATGCCAATTTTTTTATTCTACCAATTATACTATATATAGAGGGAGACAGACATCATAAATGGAGTGCCTTACAAAGGGCACAAGTAAAACAGACAGTAGGGAGCTTTCGATTGCACGACGACGTAGAACGTAATGACGCCAGTAAGTATCTGCGGATGCGAGAACGTTAAGGTCACCTCGTCGAGTAGATTCTGGAACGCAATTTGGACAAATCTATGTATGCAGAGAACGTAGGACACCAGGTAGGATGTTCACGCATGAGTGATTACGTTCTAGCGTCACATCGTCTTACAAATCGAAAGCTCCCTAATATGAGATTCAAACCTCTGCCAGATTGCCTTGACCTCTGTGCTACTGTAGGTCAAATTAGTGGTGTTGATATACACTGTAAATGATTAAATAATCATTTTATTAATCTATATTTTATTTAAATAAATCTTACATTGTTTCATCATCTCTGTAATGAATTACGGCTCGTTGTACACGTTTCTCCTTTTGTTGGGCATCAAAATATGTCTCAAAAACTGCAGCGAAACAGTTACGTTTTAAGAGTGAAGCTTTTGCGACAGCATCATTGGTATCGCTTGGAAGGTTGTCCAGATCAAATAGGATCGTGAAGTCAAAACCTTCTTCTGTACTTGTTTTCCACTGTTTGTACACACCTTCTAAAAGCTGTTTATTTACATAAAAAAAACTGATCAAATTACACTGAGATTTAAATTCTTTTAAAATCATCAAATAAAATTTTTTTTACTACCTATAATATAATTATAATCAGAAAGGTTAGAATTCACTTTTCTTGGTGATACAATTTCATAATGATTAACATACTATAAACATCCAATAATACAGTGGCAGATTCAAGGGGAGGGGGTGGGCAGGTAGACCTGGATCCACCACTGATAAATTAATTTTTAATATTTACTAATAAAGGTTTACTGTCTTATTAATGTACAGTGCTCAGGGGCAGATCCAGAGATGTCTGAAAGGGGAGGGCCAAAAGGGGGCCAAAAGTGGGGCCGAACGAGATAGCACCATCCTAGGGGGTCAGAAATTTTTTTTTATAGACACCCGAAAATGACCTCTGGGGCGATCAATTTTTCTTTTTCTTTCTATTTTTTTTCTTTTTTTGCTTTTCCAGGGGAGCTGGGGGGGGGGCCGGTCCACCCTCCCCCACCCCCAAATCCGCCCCTGGTACTCAGTCAGCCAATAGGAAGCTTACCTCATTTGCTCCATATTGTGTCAGTTCACTGAAGAACTTGAGGGAAATGCTGACACTTATTTTGCTTTTATCACCATTAGGATTAGAAATATGGTAAAGAACACCGTCAAAATCTATAAAAGCATTTGAAAAATGGAAAGGAGAGAGCGCTTTAATATAATCAGTTATATAACAATTAACACTATACAATTGTATTTGACATATGCCTATTCCATTATCTTTATTGGGTTTAACAATGCAACCAACATGTTTTCTCAATGTATTTTTATAATGTAATACTACTGATTTACCTGCTATTTGCATATCAATACTCTCAGGTTTTCCTCTGAAATAAAAACAGAAGTGCAACAATCAAAAAGCAAATATTCAAACCTATATAATGATAAAAATATCAAATACATTTTTATACAACAAAGCTTCACAACAAAAGACTTGCATTACCCGAGCAATTTTTTTCTAATTTCCTATTGAATTTAGTGTTTATATCTTTTTTCATGTAAAACAGCTTTGTACTTTAATGATAATTATTATTATAGTTATAATTGGTTAAATAGGTTACAGTCAATGTTGAATTTATATATTTCGGTATCTTTATTGAAATCAGTAAAAAACAATTGAAGCCTTGGCGGCCATTGGCTGACTTTGGGATTCAATTTACAAAGATCAATTACAATAATTCAAAAAATATATTTAAACTGTACTTAAAAAGCACTTCAAAATTCAATTTAAATTTATTTATTAAAAAATATTAAAAAATATTATATACAATTCACATACATTAAGATATTTAAATTAGATGATGCAATTAAAATGTGGGGAAAATGAACAAGAAAAATAGTATACTATAGTAGTACTGTAAGTTGGAGAAATATTTCTCAAGGATTATCTCAGATCCAAGTGATATCCTTTTCCTGATGAATCATAACAAGCATAAAACAAGATTTTATTTAAACAAAAATTGTGACAGTATTAAAAAAAAAATATGTTTGACATATATATTCTCTAGCATTTGGAAACTACAGTTTTACCCAGCAATTCCTTCTTCTTAAACCTGCAGATGGTGCCACATCCTGGTTAAATTTGTGTCCTATTATTAATTAATTACACCTACCAAATGTAATTCTTACAAAATGATGTCAATAGTAATACCATACCCTCTCTCAAAATGCATTAAAAAGTGTCTTACAATTTACTGATAAACTCCTAGCCTAGGCTAGGCCTACAATAGGCCTAGGCCTACGCCTAATCTCAGAGAGCAGGTCATTTTTTTTAAATAATTAAACTAGATAGGCCTAAACGACAAGATAATGTATGACTTGTGACAGGAAGAATGGTACTTATCTAGACCTAGCGAATGTCTGACTCGAAGTAATGAAGGAGTCTGTCAGGCAGGGAAGATATGTACGAATGGTCCCAACACCCTGTGAATTGGCTCACAGACAGAGTAGCTAGCCTAGTAGGCTAGGCCTCCCTCCAACCAGATCAGGCCCGAAATACTAGGACCCACCATAAACATCAAAATAAAGCTGTAAAGAACACTCACCCATCTTTTGCAGTCTTGAATTTGTGAGACAATGCTTCTTCAATAATTTTGTTTTTTATGTCCAAAAGAATCATTTTGATATTTATTGCTGCACTAAAACCTTAGCCCTATGTTTTTCTGCTTGAGACACCACTTCCTGGGTTGGGTCCGGTTATTCCTCGCGATCGAGTCTCTCTCTCCCCGATCTTCTAAAACCAGGAAGCCTACCAATCTCAGAACAGAAAATGGTTCAAAGAGCATCGACAAGCACTAGTGCCTTGAGTCCTGGCACCAAAATTGGTTAATAAAATTTCAAAAAAAGGGGGTAAAAAATGCACTCTCCAA